ATAATCATGGCCATACCCAATGAAATCTTCCAATCCCTTGATGCATGTTCCACTGCCAAGGAACTATGGGATGAGCTGGCAAGCCAATTGGAAGGAGGGGCAAAAACAAAGAAGAATCGTAGAGCCCAATGTCTCAACGAATACACCAACTTCAAGGCTCTTCCTGATGAACCGATTCAGAAGATATACGATCATTTAAACACATTGATTAATCAATGTCATCGAAATGATATCTCCAGAACAAAGGAAGAAAACAATGTTTTATTTCTTAAAAGTCTTGACGATGAATGGACACATATATCAATGTCCCTTCAAGCAAATAAGGACTTAGACGGCTGGTCACTCCATGACGTATACGAAACGCTTAATGCACAAGAGAACGACATCATGAAGAAAAATGTATCCATCGGTGGACCCCTGGCTCTAGCAGATGAAGAAAAGGAAGTTTCAAGGACATCCACCAGAGACCACAAGAAGAAAGGAAAGAAAGCACTGGTGGTGGAATCAGAATCTGAAGATGAAACATCTGAATCAGATGATGATATCAAAGCCTTTGCCAAATCTCTGGCCTTTATTACAAAGTAGTTCCAGAAAAAGTTCATCAAAAAACCCTATGAACGAAGAGAGTTCAAGAGGGAAAGGTACCAGCCATCCTATGAAAGGAAGCCATCTAAATTTCATCAGAGGGAAGACAAAAGAGATGGAAGAGAAGAGAGAGAAGAAAGAAGAGAAGATAGAAGAGAGGAGAAGAAAGAGGACAAAGATGGAAGGAAAAATGACCTCCACTGCTTCAGGTGCGGAAAAATCGATCATTTTTCCAAAGAATGCAGAGGACGACTTGTAAAGGATGCTGACTATTATAAGAATAAATACAAGTACAATCCTAGAGAGCGAAGCCTGATGGCTATGAACGAAAACTGGGTGTCTGATTTTTCATCCGATGAAGAAAACAAAGCACTCATCTGTCTGATGGTCACGTCCAATGCAGAATCTGCCTCTGACACTGATGACTAGGTATGTGAGTCTACTTTCAATAAAACCAACTCGGCTCCATCTGAGCTAGAGTTAATGATAATAAAGCTTTCAGAGGAATTTTTAAATTAAAAGAAAATTAAGTTTTGAAAAATCTGAAAGACTTAAAGCCGAAAAAGAAGACAGTTTCTACAAAAGAGAAACTGATCTTCTAACCGAAGAAAAAGCTGATCTGATGAAAGAAAAGACTCGCATCGCCGCCCTTAAAAATCAGAGGAAGAAAAACTTCTGGAAATAAACAAGCGAGTAACCAAAGACTTGGAAAAGAAAACTAAGGCCTTAAAAGAATCTGAGGCAGAGAGACTTAACTCAGTAGCTCTCAAAGATTTTCTTTCAAAAGGAAAGGGAGATTCTTCATCAGAAGCTTCAAACCAATGAACTTCTGATGAATAAATACAAGGATGCCCAAGATGTGTATGAAAGGTTAAACGATCAAACAGACACTCAAGGGATTGGATTCAATGAATTGGATTCCTTCATCGAATCAAAGAAATCCACCCTTGAATCCACTTTCAAACTTGGATGCATTCAGAAACCCGACTTTATCCCTAAACCAAAAGAAAATTTTAAAAGAGTTAAAGTCAATGGAAAAACTGGCATTTTAAGACAGGATTTTGAAAATGTGGTGTACGAGAGCAGTACATGTAAGAATTCTTATGAAAGGAATGACAGCTCCAAATCAGAGACCGATGGAAACCCTATGGTCAAACCAGAGTCTCTGGTTGCCAATTCCACTTCATCAGCAAGTACTGTTGATGAAAAGGAGAATCCTAATGAGGAACCATCAGCTGATAAATCGATGAACCATCCAGGTAAAACTGAAAGTTCATCCAAGTCAGAATCGATGGAACCTCAAGCAGATCACTCTGAAGCATCAAACTCTAAACCCACACCTCCTACGAACATTCATGCTAATTTTGATTTCAAGAAATCAACAAGAGATTTTCTCGATTTTGAATCCGAAGAAGAGATAATATGTGAATCAAAGATCATAGAGAATAAGAAGCCTCAAAACTCCAAACCCCCAATGAAATTTGGTATTCCTTCATCGATGAAATCTTCGGACAAAGGAAAGGGAAAACTGAGAGATATTAAATCTGCCAACGATAAATTAAAAGGTCTTAGCATATCTTCTAAGTTCATTAAGTTTACTCGTGAGCAAAAACAGAAGTGGCATGCCTCTGAAAAAAAGCAGTCCTTCGTCAGGAGAAAAGAAGTAAAGACAAAGACCCCTTCAAATAAAAAAATCTGAACTAGATAGGAAGTTTGTAAAAACAACCGATGCTAGAACAGGATTTACATCCCCTGCATTTACTTCTTTATTTTCAGCGAATAAAAAGAACGTTAGCCATTCATGCCCAAAGTATAACAATTGTCAATGTTTAGCTCTTTTACAAAACCTGGGGAATCAAAAGTTGACACATCACTGCATATTCTCCCAACACGTTTATCGCTATAAAGTTAAAACCAATGAAAACGTGAAAAAGCCCAAGTCCAAGGGCAAGGGAAATGCAAATAAACTCAAACCTGCAAAGGCTAAGGGCGATGAAAAGAGAGTGGTATCTCCTACTAACAAACGTGGACCCATTAAGAAATGGGTACCT